AATAGATTGTAAGACATCGGGGCCTCGGGTATAAATGGTCGAGGGTCGATGCACTAGGTGTCGGGGCTTTGGGTATAAAAGGTCAGGGGCCGACATTACCAAGAGAATGGTTTCAAAGAGCTCGAATATCTGAGGTGAGCATAGTTTATTTGAGGTGTTAGGGAACCAGGTGGACGGTAATTGTTTTTATATGATTGTGGTTAGCATCGGGTCTTATAGAGCATGTTTATGGATGAATGTATAATGTGTTAGTAGAGCATGTCTATGGTTGTTCGCATACTGTAATGATAGAGCATGACGGTGTATGTTTCCTTTATGGTTATGAGCATGATGTTGGTGTGTGCTTGGTGAGGGCTACTTACGGAGTATATTGTATATACTYACCCCYCTTCTACAATGATTGTTTCAGGTGAAGGACTCGAGGGTGACCATGGTGATGGGACRGAGGAGACCTGACAAGCGAGGACTATAGGCTGCTTAGTTTTTCTTATTTAGTCTAATTCTTTTGTTASGGCCTTATGTTGTGGCCAATAAACGGTTTATGTACCTTTGAATAATTGGGAGATTTTTCCCTTGTTGKTAGTTATGCTTCGGGTTAGGTGCCTATTTGAGCTTTATTCCATTTGTTTAGATTCATTTAGATTGAATAATAAACTTGCCTCGTGAAGTAGTTCACGAATGTTGTTGCATGTTTTTTTTTATGAGATTGGTTTATCGTTAATTTGATGAGGTTTGGAGCTTGATTTTATAAGTTCATGTGCATAGGAAGTTGGCAGGTTGTAATCGGGGTTAAAACTGATTAGTTGGGTAGTTCATGTGACCTAGAGGTGTGTGGAAATTGTTGGGTCGTTACATTGTTCCTCACCTTGTTTGTTTCTTGGTTATAGCAATATGCTTAAAGGCTATAAATGTTTAGACAATTCTGGTCTTCTGTATATTTCACGAAATGTTCATTTTGATGAACACTCCTTTCCTATTGCAAAAGGTACTTCTTTACCTCTTTCTTCTCAAAATTCAGCTACTAATAATCAGATTGTTTCAAATTCATTACCGATTATTTTACCTGCTGCTTCATTATCTCATATACCTCTCCTACAGCCTGGCTACTGCTACACAACCTAGTCCATAGTCTGCTACCTCTCTAATACCTAATACATCAAACACACTTTCTCATGACTCTTCCCATGTACATGACCCCTACTTTGTACATACCACGTCAGCAAACACCTCTTTATCTTCTAAATCCTCTCAGACGACCATCCCACAGTTCCCAATATTTCCTCTCCCACCATTTCTCCTCAACCATCTTCACAAATCCTTACTGCTATAACGTCCCACGTTCTCTGACTCGTTTATTTTAAGAATTAAATTGTGCCTTTGGATTTTCCCTAAGTTGATAATTTGATCTCTTGAATCTTCCAATTCTAGCATTCTAATTTGTTGGATTTAAAGGTGTGAAAGAAAGTGTAATTTAAAGAAACTTATTCACATATACGTTGTGAATATGTTTGTGGTTTTGTTTCTTTTAATTTTGGAGTTATTTATTTAAATGGAAAAGTTGTTTCTTTATTTTGTTAATTTGTAACTTTATACATGTTAAAGTTACCTATGTAAAATATGCAAAAAAGTTACATATGAGTTTAATTTTGTGTAATAAGTTACATGTTTGGACAACTATATATAATTGTGGTTTTGTTCATTTTGAGATATCCAAGCATACCACAATTGGGTATTTTCCTCCTCCCACAAGAATTCTCTCTTCTTTTGAGTTGTTTTTCTTGTTTATGTTGAGAGCAAGTATCTAAGAGTTCTGCTAGATCCAAGTAGTTCGAGGTTGCAATTCTACCGGAATTAGTCGTTGTATCCTGCTGAGACGATCGCTGTAGTCTGCTAGCAACTTGTGCAGAGCGAATAATTGTCTTCAGGTCACGCTATTGAAGCGTGCCTCGACTATTTGTTTTATCAAGTTTGGTGTTCATCAAGTTGTTCAAATTTATATCGTTTGTAGCCAGTTACGTTGTAATTTGTTTGTAGTACTACACAGTTCATATATACAGCGTATATTTACCCAACATAATTTTGGGTAAATTTGAACTTAAGTTCCAATTTGTTGGTTTAAGTTAAGTTTCCGAATTTTGGAGAAAGATTTTAAATTAAATCTTATTTCAAAACTAATGGAAAAAGTTGTTTGGTCAATCAATTATGAAGGTGAGAATTTATTTAAATGTTATTGGATTTTTTTGTTACTATATTGCTTTTTATTTTCTTTTATAATTAATGTAATTCTTTATTCCAAATGTTTGGTAAAAAAATAATAAGCTTCTTGATCATGGTAAGTGAATACCTTACAAAAATTTTAATAAAATTAATTATAAATAGCAAATTAATCCATTATCAAAATATAGCAAAATGTTGGAATGCAAAGTTTTTCCTACAATTTTTTTAAAATCATTTAATTATAATTTATGATGGAATTTCTAATGTTTTGTAACTTCTCATCATCTATTACTATATAAATATAAGTTTTTTCTACAATTTTATTCACAAATACTTAGAGATCCATTCATTATTATTTTTAGGGTTAATCTAGAAAGTCATAGTTACAAAATTTCAAGTAATTAGTTTAATTACAAATATGAAATCAAATTAGTAAAATATTTTTTATTTATTGAGGGTGAGAATATATAACCAAAATAATAATATGCTTTTAACTTAGGTAAATATTTTTGTTAATAATTAAAATATAAAATACTTATATATATTTTATTGATATATTAAAAATAATAAAATGCAACTTAAACTTCATTAAAAATGTTAAATGATATAATGCTATGTATATGCACTTTAAAGGAATTAAATGAATGGAATGCAAAAAGTTATAAGGTAAAAGCTTTGTATTCATATACATAAATTAATTATATAATTAAATATTTGTATATAAATATATTTAATGGAAGAATATGAAAGTTTTAGAATGTTAAAAGTTTGTGTATTTATTAAATGAATGATCAGTGGTTTATATAGACAAGCAAGTGAATAAAACAATACAAATATACAATTGTGAAAAGACTAATAACAACCTAACAAACTGTAGAAAAATAGCATTCTATTTTTGAAAGTTAACTCCTGTTTGGAACCGTTGATTTGCAAAGGAATTCCAAATCATATTGATTTTTAAACTATTTCCGTTGTTTGGTGCGACAAGGTTTTTTGTCAAAAAAATTTATTTTCCAAATAGGTCAGATTTGGAAGGATTTGAAATTAATACGTAAGAAAGATCCAAATTTACCCTCTTTTTAGGAGAAAAAATAAATTTTCCATTTTTTTAAATTTATTCACATCACTCTACCCTACACCCATATAATTATTTTCTGAATATTTTTCTATGCAAATTGTCAAGCATACTACAAATTTTTTTTTGTCTTTCTACCTACGTCTTTTTGGATCACCATTCAATCAAAATCCAAGTAGATTTCCTATTTTGTTTGATGGTCTCGATCAGTTTTATTTTCTTTTTATTTCAATTTTTATAAGACTAATTAGGATCAAAAGAATTTCAGTTCCAAATAAGATGGGATTTGCAAAGAGAGTTTGATAAAAATTTCTTTTAAACTATCTTTATATATATAGTTGATGTATTGTTTTGTAATTCTTGGTGCATGTTATTGTGTTTTAGTATGATATTTGTTATGTTAGTTTTTTTTTTAATAAGGAAGTATGAGCACAACAGTCAAAAGAAAAGAAATGAAAAATACAGGAAAATGGGTTAACGGTTTAAGTTTTTTTAGTTTATAAACATATTGATTATTTTCGTTTAGATTTAAAAATTAATATTTCAATAAAAAATATTTACAAATATGTTTTTGCTTTTTCTAAAAATTTAATTGAAAGTTTTAATTTATTAAGTTGATTTGATTAAATTATTATATTTCATATAAAAATATTATATTATTATTAATATAATATTATAAAATTATAAGGGTATAATAGTCAAATGATATACTTTCTTTTCAATTCTGGTCAACATCCAAACAAGAAATTTTAATTTTAATTATATTTAGAATCAATTTGGTTCCAAACACAAGGAGGAATTCGAAATCCTTTCCATTATTTAAAATCTTGTAATTGATGGAAAATATACATACATGCACAGTGGAAGTGAGCAAAGATCGAAATAACAATCTAGATGCATATTACAACCTAGGATTAAACATATATGATCATACATTATAATGCTTAGAGAAAGGTAAAGAAAATTACATACCTTTGTAGCTTTTTAAATTTCTTCAAATAGCTCCAATGAGGACCACCAGGAGGTTTTCCTAGCTATTCTCAAGGCTTGGAATAGAGTGGTGGGACTCTTCTTAGAGAAGAAAAATTTTAGAGAAATATGGAGCTAAAATGAGTTATGTAAGTCTTTTGAAAAACATGAAATGACCAAAGGTTCCAAGAGCTTTCATGTTTGAAGAAAGGCTTTCTTAAATAGGCAAATTACATGCAACTCTTGCATTTCTAAGTTCACCAAAAGCTTACAACACATACTCCACTCATGCATGGCATGGCTAAGTGTCAAAATGCATGTCTAAGTTCACCAAAAGCTTACAACACACACTCCACTCGTGCATGTCATGGTTAAGTGTAAAAAAGTGGATTTTTTTTAGATTATTTACAACACACACACTCAACAAGTTTGTGGAATTTTCCACCAACTTGGTTAAAAATATTATTTTAATCTTTTTAGTCAACCTTTGACTTTCTTAAGTCAAAGTCAACTATTTGACTTTTTCCAAAATTCGACTGTTTGACGAAATTCATGCCTCCGATTATGAATCCGCATTCATAATTTTAATATTTAAATCCTATTTAAATATTTTGACTAAATTTCTCAATTTATATCATATATCAATTACTTAATCATATCTCATATGATTAACCTAATTCGTACGATTCGAATTATTCCTTCAAATTATTCCAAGTTTATTCCTATATGAGCTAGCCCCTACAGATCATGAGCTCCAACGATCCAAGATTAACTGGTTAAACTCTTTAACCTAGTTAACCAACATTCGTTAACTACCGGGTCACTCCACTAAAGCCCGTAGCTGCATTCTCCTCACTGTAGATATATTATGTCTATTTGATATAACCATGATCGGTAAGTCGACCCTTCACAAGTTGTTCGTAATTACAACTGGGTCAAAATACTGTTTTACCCCTTTAATTACCTCTTGTTCCTTAAGTCCCACTAATCCTCTAATGAACAATGATTTGTAGTCCAACTATCAAATCAAAAAATCATCTTAAACCTTTTGATGAGGGTAGCGCCAATTATTCAAGACCTGGATTCAGCCCTTAAGAGAACAACTTCTCTACTATCCCATAATGGGGTAGGAGTAAATTTCTTCTTGCACCCTATGTCCCTAGCTATTTACCTAGTCTTACCCCTAAAATGGAAGGCTTATTGAGCCAGCGTTGTTGAGCTGCTCTCACTCATGCAGATCTAAGGATAATCCCGAGTAAACAGAAGTTCATGGTTAGCTTAAGATTAAGATCGAGTTACCTAGGCCATCATAGTCGAGATAGTTAGTTTCAGACAGTAAACGGCGTTATAAAGTAAAAGTGACTATCTCATGGTCTGGTCTTATACAAACTCTTTGCACAGGACGCCCCCACTCACATGCTTCACATG